GGGTTCAAAAGAACTTTTGGTGCAGTTTTTAAATGTGAAAATTTCAATTATTAATTCTAATTTAAATAGTTTTAAGAAAGAGTTACCTCTATCATCACTCAAACATTGTAAACCAAAACGAAAACCTAAATATAGGAAAAAGGAAGTATATAAATGGTTTAATATTATGTGGTTTTCTACTTGTATAAAAGACATAGCTAGAATCCCTCTCGTGATACTGGTATCATGAAAATCCAAATGTCCCGTTAAGTTCTGGCTTCTGTGCACTGATTTATATTGGAAAAAGTAGTTGATTACGGTTGATGTTAGAACTAACTGCAGCAGATACAAAAAGAAGCCTAACATGCTAGTAGAGGATCAGTATAAAGCCTTGTTCTTTAAAAATGAACTCTAATTAGCGAGCATGAGTCGAAGAACACTAATCAATCGAAAGCTCAGCCTCGAACCATAATATAAACTGAGCTTCGCAAACATCAGATCGGGTTATCATGAAGACTAATCAAGCGCGCCCATGTACAATCATGAAGAATAATAAAGCACCTAATGGTAAAAAAACAGCTCTTAGTAGTTTAAATGAAAAGGATAAATCGTTGAACTGATGAGAAATCCAGGAACTATTAGTAAACATCGAATACGGAACCATAGCTCATGGAACCCATGAAAGGCCAACCACACTATCCTATCCACTTCTGCAAGAGCAGATGAATCACGAAAAGTTCCCTAATCCAAAATTTCAAATTACTCAATGCATCGAAACCAACAAGTAACTGAGATTAGAGAATCCTGACTTACAAGAATTTGCGGTTCTACATGATCCTCGCGGTCATGCAGGTGAAGCAACACAAACAAGACGAAACCTGCAATAAAGAATATTCCCAGCAGCGTCCAGATCCAGCAAGAAAAATTGCTTCGAACCGGGCGCCGGTAATCGGCCGTCCGCCGCCGCCGCAGCATTATTCACCGACCGCTTCCACAACTCCCCACCGTAGCCTAACTCTGATGTCCAAGAATGAATCCTTAACAAACAAATCAATATCCAGAGCAGAGGCCTTCAATAGTTCAATTCATGTGCTCAAACCAATCAAGGGCCCCTCACTCAGATTGAGATCTTCTCCAGTGTGGAAATTCAAGATATGCTTGAATACGATCTTTCTGCTGCCCAAAGAGGGAACTAATGCATCGGAAGTTAAGGAGCATAAAACATTTAATCCCGAATTAACCTTTTCAAACATTACAACATGCAGCACAGCAGAAATAGTTCTTTATATCCCTAAAAACATCAAACATCTGATGTGTTTTCCAATGTACAAAACCATATATCGTTTCGAGACTCAAGAGTTTCTTTAACACAAATCGTGTGCTAAAACTTTTTTTTTTGAACGAATCGTGTGCTAAAACTTGAAATAATGTTTTTGGAAGAGAACTTTTCTTTTTGTTTTTTTTTTGGAAGAGAACTTGAAATGCTTTAAAAAAAGTGATGGAATAAATAAAAGGAAAATTGGACAATAATAATCTTATAATCTTATGCACCCCATTTTCTTGCATTGGACTCTGATCGTTTATGTGACCTACTAATTAAGGTTTTTATCTTTTCTTTAAAACTCTTATATAAATCATTTCATCTTTCACAAATTTGCTCAAAAACAGTCGCACATATCATTTTTTTCATCTTCTTATTATTTCATTTATTTAATCTGTTTATGTTTTTGCTTTCCTTTTTAGCAATAACTTTTTCTTTCTTCTTCCACATTTTCACTTCTTCCCTTTTTATGTATTACCAAGGGCGTGTTGGTAAATTTTTTGTCCATCAGAGTCTCACCTCCAATTCATTCGGTGGCTCGTCACTCAATAAGTATTTTGGTTTAGAAAAAGTTTCAGTGTTCATTACTTGTTGGGAGGACAAAGAGGGTTATTCAGTTGCCTACTAGGGATGGTCATCTGGAATTTCAACAAGGCAAAATGATACGTAATGAGGTCCCCAGTTGAAAGAATAAAAGTTTTTGGGAGGCTGGGATTAAGTGTAATGGGAAGGACATGTATGTGAGGAAATGATTTTTGATGCAGTGGGTAGGATAGACATGTATGTGAGGAAAACCATTGCGGCAAGAGCCTCATTGTTTAGCTCTGCAACTACTCCGACATGGAAGAGGAAAAGAGACATGAAGGTAAATGCCGCATAATTGTTGGCTATGCTGGGAGGCAAAGCCAGCGCTTCCGCCGGTGACATCAAAAAAATCCTTTCTTCTGTTGGTGCATAGGCTGATGATAGTAAGCTTGAGTTGCTCATGTCTCAAGTCGAGGGGATAGATAGCACTCAGTTGATTGCAGCTGCAAGGGAGAAATTAGCTTTCGTACCAATAAGAAGTGGTGGTGGTGGTGTGGCAGCCAATGTTGTTGCACCTTCCGGTGGCGGTGTTGCTGCCCGAACTGCTGAAGAGAAGAAAAGGAAGAGAAGGTTGAAGACGAATCTGACGATGATATTGGCTTTGATATTTTTGGAGGAGATGATTAGAGTTGTTTTATTTCTATATGCATGTTTGTTTTGATAATACTATCAAGTTTTAGAATCCTTTCATGTTTTTTGCTCTACAATGAACGCTTCTAAATCTTTTTTTTTCCTATTGTGGTATCACAATAGCTGAAACATGAACCTAGCACCTCCATCTTTTCATTTCCCTTTCAAGCCTTTTTTAAAACAATTATTATTAGAACACCAGATTGCTTATTTTAAAAAAAAAAGATACTCCGTATTCAAGAATGGAATCTGGATTTATCCCAGTATACTGTGATGAGTAACAATGATAAGGTGAAGGAGATTGAAAAGTTGGAATTGTTGGAGAGTTTGATAATAAGGATAAAATGAATGAAAATTGGAAGGATTTTTCTACGGTGCCTTCCTAAATAAATGAGGTACCGGTACCCAATGTTTTTTAGCCAATCATATAGTATTATGAGATTAGCTAAAAACATTGGATACCGGTACCTCATTTATTTAGGACGGTACCATAGAAAACCCCTTGAAAATTTTATTGTGCTTTAAAGCTACATTTATGGTTAGAAGGATAAGAAGTGTATGGTAAAAATTCCTGATAATTTTTAGGGTAAGCTAAGTTCATATTGTTGAGAATTAAATTATTTAATTGAGTATGCTACTAGTATTAAGTTTTTACCACTCTCATGGCGTATACTACCGTGATCTAGAGAGCAAGATTGGTCTCTCATATGATGTCTTTCTAATTCGTTGCCAAACGAGTGACTGTACAGTTCTCTCACCGTGCTAATCTCTTACTGGGTGATAATAAAGCGTATGTGTATGAATGTGTGCTAGAAAAATTTAGATATATCATAAATTATTCTATAAACAATTATAATCCTAGCAGCTATTCCAGGGATATTCAGGTTATAAACAATAGCAATTAACTTATTCATGCACAAATTAAATAAGAACCGTGCAATTACACTGTCAAGAATGAAACCCTAGATCATAAGAGTGTCAACCACTTCATCATTCTCAAATCCCTAAATAAAACTACTTCATTTTTTTAATCCGGAAGGCAAACCACCCATATTAATAATTGAATGAGCAATAACATTGAGAAGAAAAGATTTACTTATCACTATTTTTTTACTTTTTTTCCTTTTCTTGTTTTTTTTTATTTTTTATCTTATCATTAATAGAATGAAATTAGTTACAAACAAACCTCAGAATTCAGTTGATTCAGAGCTAAAAACAACGAAGAACTCTTCCAAGACTTGTTTATAAACTTTGTTACCTACAAAATGGGGTTTAAATCACCTTTGAAAAGGAAAAATTCGAGTTTAGGCCGACCTTGGTCATGTATTGTCATTCGCAAGACGTGTGCAATCCGTGTGTGACCCACAAAAAATCAACGTGCCTTCTCTTTGCGGGCGCCGTTGAGTGCGTGATCGAATTTGGGTATGAGTTCTTCATTGAATTGTACGTATTTAATGAAGTTCTCTATCTACCCCCGATTTGAATTACTTGATTTGGATCATCCAATTAAAAGATATGACTAGAACAATGAAATGTGTTCATCCTAAAATCTCAATAGCGATTGTTTGTCTTCCACATATAATTTCACCTTGATTCTTGCATATTTCTCATTGTGTCTTCATAATATTTGTACCTCATTTCGTATTTCTCATGTGAACCTTGAATGGTTTCATTTTTATTTGTCTACGAAGATATATGCTCAAATGATAGACATGCATGACGTCATCCAAATTCAAGATTGTGAGTTAAGCGGTGGTATAAGCAGTAGCCATTTTCTGTACTCTAACTCTCCTTCGTCTTCAAATCCTACCTTGAGTTAATTTTCCGCTAAAACCTAATAATAGTCCTTCAAAAAATGCAAACACCACTATAAGACATGATCAATCAAATCTTAACAAATGACTTTGGATGTGTACAAATGACTTTAGTAATTATTATAAGACATAATAATGCAAGGGATTTTGTTAGTAATGTGTACAAATGACTTTCTCTCACATATTAAAGTGTGTTAGAATAAGGACTGATCAGAAGCCGACCTACCAGCAAACTGAGGGAGTTGACCTGCTAGCCCAACAAAGAGCCGCCCTACAAGCCCTGCACAAAGTCAACCACACACTTCAATGTGACGTGACCTTCCACTCCGAGTAGCCTACATACTAGCCCAACAAGGGAGCAATTAATGGTTACATTTGTTAATGCCTATAAAAGGCCAACAAATTTATTTGTACATACACAACAATCCACATACTAAACTCGCTTCATTGAGCACATAATGCTCTGATGCTTTTGTTTTTCCGTACTTCAAATTTCTATCATAGTGATGGATATCCGACCTGGGCGGTCTACGGAATCCGGGAAATGGAGAGACTGAAAAGTGTTAAGTAAGATAGTGTGGAAATTTCGGTAAAGTAACCACAAGTTCTTACAACGAAGTTCGGATCCTTTTCCACACGTTGGAATGTGATATTTATAAGGAGAAAATACTTGGCCAACAAGTAAAAAGATGATATTCTATTGTGATGAGAACACGTGTCCCATTTGGCTAACAAGAATAAGAGTATGAGTTTAATAGTGTGGTGACACGTGTAAAGTTGATTGGAGAGATATCTTGGACAACTCACTGATTGGTATTGTGTGTAACAAAATTGTCTTTTGTATACCAGAATGCACATGCACGCCACACGTGTGCTATTTGGAGTATTCTTATTAAGCAAGCGTCAAGGTGACGTGGCGGTAGTCCCGTGTAGTGTCTGGTTGTTGAAATGTCTAAGTCCATAATCGATTAACGAGGTCCAGAGCTCATCAGGTGAGGTCGAGCTCGGATATAATGTGTTTATTACGGAGGGGGCCGGGAAACCCCAATCCACTGCTTGTCCGGTAAATGATGAATCCTCTGTTCTGTTGACTTTCTAGGTCCGCCAATTGACTTTGTGTCCATGTATGACGTCGGAATTGGTACCAACCTCGGCGAGGGTCGAGCTCGGCCTTGGTTTCGGTCTGATCTTGGTAATCTGTGAGTCGAATGTTGGGCCTACCTTGGGTGAGTTGAGGTCGGCATCGGCGAGTAGTGACTTGGTATTTCCGGAGACTTCTTTTGTCCGTGAATATTGATACCCTTGGGGTATACGGGAATTGAATATACTCCATCACATAGCTTTCTAGAATCCCACGTGTGTCCATTCTTTTTATCACGAGTATTGGCACCTTTTTCACCTTTACCTATCATATAGAGATTCCTCAATCACTGATGATGTCGGCTCACTTAATTATAAAAAGAAAAATTTTATGGTGCACCTGTTAGGAAATTGATGTAAGGTACCTGAAAACAACATCAACGCAAGTTTAAAATTTTAGCGAGATCTTTCCTGATTATGACAAAACAACGAATATAACAACAATAACATATCGAAGCTAGAAGTTACAGATTTTCCAGCGTAGCGGCGATAATCTTCGATCTTAGGTATCCACGTGATTTCTCCTTTTCCGAAAGAACTGTTAGATCTACCAAAGAGAAAGGCTAGGAAATCTCTTTGCAGGGAAATAAGTGGTAATACTGAATATGAAAAACTTGTCTTTAAATTATGAAGGAGAAGTATGTATTTATATTAATTCTAAATTAGTTTCCAATTCACAATAAAAGTTTTACTCATTAATGAGTTCTAGTCCAACCAGGACAAATACTTCATTATTAATTAAATAAGTGGATTAAACAAAATAAAATAACAACAACAACAATAGATAAGTGGATGCACACCACTCTCTACTTGTTATATATTACTACCTCCGTCCCGTTTAAAGGTTCCTATGACAAAACAACACGACTATTTAGATAATAATAAAATAAGCTAGTTCGAACATATTTTTAGAAATAATTTTAATAGTATATAATATAATGGGGTTAGTTTTGCTAACTTTGGTGTTATAAATGTATTATTTTTAATATTTAATGACTAATTTGACATTTAAGATTGTTAATCATTTCCTAAAATGGAAGTGGAACCCTTTTCATGGCACACTCCAGACGGAAAGTGAGAACATTTTTATGAGATGGAGGGAATATTATTTATTTCATATTATTTTCCTTTTAATTCCAAATCATAAAAGGAAATACTAACTTTATTAATAATAAATTCATCTTAATTAAGTATAATAATTTTAATTTATCACACTTAATTAATTCTATCAAAAAGAACTCTCCTTCAACATTATGAATGAAATATAGTTTAATCTAACTAATATTTAATCCATTTTCAGTATTACATACTACGTATCAAATATTATTTCATCCAATTAATATTTAATTCATTCTAAGAATTCAATGGCAAGGTATAATCACTTGTTGTGTGACCCATAGAGCATTATATATTAAGCACTAATCAAATGAAAGTTTTAAGGAATCCCTACACGATTCTCCAGACAAACTTAATATATAAGGACGTTTGCGAGGACTATTCAAACCCTTTGTAATATAGAACTCATAGTGAGGACTTTTCATTGAGCGAACATTCAACTAAATCTAGAATTTGATATTGTGTCTATTCCAATAACTACTTTGACTTTCAGTCTTTCTAGATGACCCATAATGATCATATTTGATATCCAAAATGAATATATCTTTGCATTGGTCAATGACTTTATGATTATTCTAGCTATGAGAAGTAGAAAGATCTCTCTTTTTTTTAAATAAAGGATCGACTTTTTATATTAAAAACGAGACAAAATATAAGATAACATCCAGACAGTTATGACAGATCTGATTGTGAGCCACTGAGCCCTAGGAATAGACATAGAATCAGTCACTCATACAAAGCAACCTGATTCGCTAGGCACGAAACGGGCAATTTAAAGCCTAAAACAATCGGGACTGAAATACTGTCTATCAAATGTACTTCAGAAGTCCAAATTTTCAAACCAAACCTACTTAAACTAAAATAAAAACAATTACTACTAATGGAAATATAAAATTGAAATAAAGTGATTCCATCAAACTCTTCATGCCACAAAGATGGTTCTGGAGGAGGACGAACTTTATCCATGTTATGCACTCTAAAAGAAGACAAACAACTAGAAATCCCTGACAAGACGAAGCTAGCCGACACACCAAAAGAACTCCCCACATCGAGAGACACAAACCACCCCAGAGCACCAGTGCCCAGGAAAGAACTGCCATAGCATAAAATCAACACAACCAAAAGAGAAGAACAATCCAAACTGATCATACCTCTACCATAAGTCTCCGAGCGATGTCACTGTCAGAATTGTCATGTGAGAGATACAAAAAAATATTGCTTGAAGATCTCTCTTAATCTATTATGAGGAATGAATTCTTTCTTGGCTCAACTACTACTTCATGTGATTTGGGATGCACCCAATGCATGTCGCGTCTACCCCGATTAAAGTGAAAGCGTTTGTCATGATCAAAGTACACTACTCTACACATGAAGTACATATTGACTTCAAGTAGGAAAACTATTACACTACTCGATATGCGAATAATTCCATAGACATGTGAATAGAACTTATAAAATGGTCACTTGGTGGTTATGCCAATATTCTCTAGAATATCTATGTGACCATCATGAATTACCTGAACTCGTAGTTGTGAGATCAACTATTTCCTAAAAGTATGATGCAGTCCACATACCAATCTTATCTCATATGATCAATATCCCTTTCTTGATAATCATTGATTGTGGCTATTTTAGGATTTTATGTTATACTCCCTCCGTCCCGCTATGATTGTTCCATTTTACCATTTCGGTCCGTTCCACTAAGATTGTCTCATACCTTATTTGGTAAAGTTTGTGTGGTTCTAAATCATTCTTACTTTATTCTTACTTTATCAATGTAAAATCAACCACATAAACCCACTTTTATTAATAACCGTGTCATCTTCTCTTGTCCCAAACTTAGGGGGACGGAGGTAGTATCACATAAGATCCCACTAATTTAGTGACAATATAAGTCCAAGGGCACAAAATTATGAAACTGGATGTGAACAAGAATATATATATATTTATGAAAAATGATTGTCACTAGGACATATATACTAACAATCTCCCACTTGTCCTAGTGCCAATCACTGATGCGTCTAATACCTAGACTCTCAAAAGTTTAGTGTGTTTCTCGTATCTCAAAGGTTCGGTGAAAGGCTCAACCAAATTGTCCTTTACGGGAACACATTCTATGCAACTTCTCCTCCTACTATTTGTTATCAAAACATGATAGCATAGATGTATTTTCTCGTTTCTTTCTTTGCATCTTGGTTCTTGAACTTGTGTAAAAGCACAAATATTATCACAATAACAATTATAGGATAATTGTCACTTGGAACTACCCCTATTTTTTTATGAATTCGCGTATCTAAATGCTTACCTAAGTTGCATCAAATGCAACAATTCATTAGACTTTAGTCGACGAATTTATAATAGTCTCTTACTTACAACTCTTTCAGCACTAGTGTTTCATTGAGACTGAAAACATATAGTGACTATGACTCGTAGTCTTCATTATCATCCAAGAAGCTAGTGTTACAATAACTAAGTTCTACTCGTTCTTTATCTCCACCATAGTCTAATGGTTATTCATGAAGATTTTGGATAATCATTCTTTCACGGACTTCAATGAGGGTATATTGTTCTCTATGATCAACATATATGACTATAAAGATCACGCTATCCTTAGCTTGTTGCGCACCCTAAACACGTAAGCATCATCATTTCTTCTGATGAAGTCAAACGATTTGACTATTTCATCATAATTGGTATTTCAACTTCTAGAGGCTTTCTTTAGCCAACAGATGGATTTCTCCAATTTACATGTTGATTGAGAATTTGACTTTGATACAAAACCTTCAGGTTATACCATGTACACCTTCTCCCTAAGGTTTTCATTAAGGAAAGCGTTTTGACATTCATTTGTCAAATCTCATAATCATAGTATACAACTATCACAAGCAAAATCTGAATAAACCTGAGTCTTACAACTCGGGAATATGTATCATTAGAGTCAATTCCTTATGTTTGACTATAACCTTTAATCACTATTCTAGCCTCCAGCATCAATTTTCTTCTTGAAAATCTATTTGCATGCAATGTGTCTAACCTTAATAGGAAGTCAACCAAGTTCAATACTTGATTGATATGCACTAATTAGTAGTGCATAAGTGTGTGTTTTTATGTTTGATTTGTGTGGATTGTTTACCATTTTATTTAGTTTGTAAACATTTGTGTGATTTTAGTTGTAATCGTATTTTAGTTCTCATTTGTAAGTTGTAAAGTAGAGTTAGGATTTATGGTGTTGGAAAGGAAGACTTTGAAGTGAAGAAAAATGGATTTTGACTGTCCAGGAGAAAATACCCGACCGGGCATAAGATGTCACCCGGTCGGGTCTGATTCAACAACCGAAAGTGCCTGGAAAGTGCACTCACCCGGTCGGGTCCCCTATTCCACCCGGTCGGGTCTGACTTGACCCGGGACACTTTAACATGCCGAAGATCGCCAGAACGTGGAGGATATTTGATTTTGACATGCACCCGGTCGGGTGGGCTCTTTACCCGGTCGGGTACCCGGCCCAAGGTGTTGAAAAACACCTATAAATAGCACACTTTTCCTTCACAAATAATAATCCCTTCTTCCATACTCTTAAGCTCAGTTTAGAATAGTATTTCTTTTATATTTTTATAGCATGTTTAGTCTCCAAATGAGGAGCTAAACTCTTCCATCTTGGTTTTGCTCCTTTGAAGCTTAATGAATTTGTAAGTTGTGAGTTATTATCTTTAATCTTCTTCCTTGAATATTAATTCTTCTTTTAAATACTATTTCTATATCAATGTTGGGGAGTGTTACTAAGATGACAATTAGTTAACATCTTGACATTAGTTATAGTAATAGTTATTTCTTCCTCTACGTTAATATCGGGGAGTGTTACTAAGATGACAATTAGTTAACATCTTGATATTAACTATAGTAGGATTCATCTTCTTCAATATTCTTTCTTGAGTATTAATTAATTCCTATTCATATTTCATATTAATATTTTGAACATTACTTAAAGGATCAACTAGTTTTGTTTCATATATTAATTAATACTAGAATCGGTCGATTAATACGCTTGTTATTAATTCGGTCCTTTCATGGTAGTAAACCTGGATTATTAATGCATGCATCTCATGGTTAATAATCTAAGGGGAATTAATTATATTGATTAAACCAATAAACCGCTTGTGTTGAGGTTATCAATCTCAATCGTTTTCATCTTAAGTTTATTGCTACTATCAATTTAATATACGACGCTTGTTCTATATTGACTCGATAGTAAGTTTTATTAATGAACGCTTCTCGTTATTAATAACTACCCTCGATGAACTGGATATACTCCTCGATTGAGTATTCGAGAGGAAGATAGTTAAAGATATAACCGGGATCGACGAACATCTCATTAAGTGGATAAAAGCAAAGCCAAGTCTTCTTCTCATTAATTAAACTCATTTAAGTCATTCATCTTAGTGTTAATTAAATCAAATCAAATCTAAAAACCCCCTTTATATTTACTAGTTTATAAAAAAGAGAAGTATTCCTTTCCCTGCGGATACGAACCTTACTTCATTATACTACGTATAATTGTTGTATTGAATATTATTTTGAGTGCACACCACGACAAAGTGCACGTCACCTTTAATCACTATTCTAGCCTCCAGCATCAATTTTCTTCTTGAAAATCTATTTGCATGCAATGTGTCTAACCTTAATAGGAAGTCAACCAAGTTCAATACTTGATTGATATACATCGAGTCCATTTCAGATTCTGTGGCTTATCGTCATCTTTCTAAATCAATATCTAATATTGCTTCAGTGTAAGTCTTAGGTTCATACTTGTCACAAATCTCAATATTGACTTCACTCAGAAATGTGAAGAATGTTATCTCCTCATAAAATCTATCAAACCTAGGGTAACATACCCTTGCTTCTTCCCCATTCTCTACAAGCGGAGATTAATCATTATGACCAAATGCACTCCCGAAAATAGAAATTATAGAAGTTGGAAAAAAGTTAAAGAGGTATTTACCTAAATAGGAGAAAATCAATCTTTATTTGCCAAAATAGGACCAAAGTTTAAAACTTCCCTAAATAGGAGTTATTATTTGTAATTGGACACAAAAACCCTTGAAGCTTGGAGGTATACTGTCGTTGCTCAGAAAACCGGACCACCTCCATTCGTTGCCGATCGCCGCCAGTGTCCGCCGGTTGCCGCCGGTCGCCGGACACCGCCGTCGTCTCAAAAACTGGCCGTCGTTGCAGATCGGGCCATCACCGTTGCAGATTGGGCCATCGCCGATGCAGATCTGGTGGGCGTCGCCGGAGATCTGGCCAGATCTAGCCGTCGCCGGCCGTCAATCGTTGCCCCGAAATATCCAGCCACCGTCACAACTAATCCGGCATCTGCCGCTGCAACTCTGACCTCCTCATATGCAGATCTGGTCTCTACCAACGTGAATGCCAAGTTTTTTATCAGAATGCCATTTTAATGGCATTTTTACAAGAAAATACAACATTTTTGAAGACTTAGAATGCCATTTTGATGGCATTTTCAGATTTTAATATGGCATTTTGTAACAATCAAAGAAGAAACGAAGAATGGGGGGAGAGAACTAGAGAAGAAGAGGAGAAAGAACGAGGAAACCAACCAGAGAAGATAAGCCAATCCATGGAGAAGAAAATTCGTTCTCCGGCAGCGGCGGCGGCGGACTTCGTGGCGGCTGCTATGGCTATGGCTTCTGAGTTGTTGTTACTGTGTGAAGGGGAAAGAGAGGGAGTGATGCGCATGGAGTTGACGATTGATGATGCGCAGGAAGAATGATGCGATGATGTAGGTGTGGAGAATTAAAGAGGAAGAAAAATAAGGGTAAATAGGTAATTTGGTTTTATTTGGAGAATAAAATTATACATAGTCCCATTTAGGAATTTCAAGAACAATTTAGTCCTATTTAGGGCAATAAGTCAAAATTAAAAACTGAAAACTGAATGAGACTCTTCTACAAACATCTCCTAAACTTGAATGCAATAAAGAATTGAAAATGTCCGCCTAAAATATAAAGAATCCTATACAAAAACAATAAAAAATTCGAAAGATATTTAATTGTCAAATACTATCGTATATACGCCGTACTCCGTCGCATAAAAAAGCATGTTTAAATGTAGAAGTGGCCAAGTGGGAGAGGCGTTTGGAGATGGATGATCTAAGGCCAGTCAAATATATAGCGCAACAATCGCCCCGTTAACTTCCTCGTTGTGAAGAGTGAAGATGAAGATCTGCCTCTTGCTGTCATGTTAACTTTGACAAATATCAGGTTGTTGGAGGATCACTATGCAGTTTTAGATTTTATTTAAAGAATAGCTGAAATGGAAATGTCAAATTTCAAGTTTTTTGTTCAAGCTACCAAAACACGATGTAATGTAAAGGCATGGAAGAGCTGCCCAATAATTAATTAATTCGGTTCTGGTAATAGAAATCAACGTTAAGCTGTAGACGTTTAGTGGCATGGCTTATTGGCTTGATGTTCCTTTATTCACCAAAGCAAACCTCTGTAATCAATCTCTTCCTGTTACCGGTGCTGGGAAAAAAGATCCTCAAATCGGTAGTTTTATTAAAAATAAGATAATTTGCCATAATTTTTTCTATCCTCCATATATTCTTGTTGGTTCAAGTTCCTTCAACCCGCTCTTCAATCAATCTGCACGGCACGTCGATCTGGCGATCAGTCTCACGATCCATCATGGAGATTATCTTCAATGTTTGGCTAAAAGATGGGATAGGGGTGTCATATGCTCTTAATACGATCTCGAAACATAGTCACTCCACCTCAGTTGGGATTGGTTCTTCATAGCCTTTCTTTCATATTCCGTCTGGTTTTTGGTTCCAAGTTTGATCCGATTTAGAAGCTGGTTATACAAACATAACATTCCTTTCAAAAGCGACTTGTTTTTTGAAGGCTAATAATCTCATTTTGCAGCATTACATTTTCACTGGGCATTCATTTTTTGACCTTCTTTCCTGAACCTGCACTTTCTTTCCTTGCAGGAGTGAAGAAGGAAAGGGTTGGTGAAGATGGAAGGCCAATCAGAGAGATTTACTGTCAATTTTTTGATGGGAGGAGCAGCAGCCATCTTTGCAAAAACTGCTGCATCGCCATTAGAAAGAGTAAAGCTTTTGCTGCAAAATCAAGGGGAGTTGATTAGAACAGGACATTTAAAAAGACCTTACATGGGTATAGGTGACTGCTTCCATAGAGTTTTGAGAGAGGATGGTCTTCTGTCCTTCTGGAGGGGTAACCTGGCCAATGTCATTCGATACATCCCAACCCAGGTAACCCAAGTTGCAAACTAGTGTAAGAAAGCATCTCCTAAGTTGATTTGTTAAATGGTTCTTGAGGGACATTTTTTTGTAGATATTTTCAAGTGACATATCCATGAGACACTTATTATGTGGATTTCAATCTTCTGTTTGGGCGTAGTATTTTAAGGGAAATTGGGCTTTGCACCCTATGTTTTGTTTTATTTTATATTGGGCGCCACCGTACCCAAAAGTGGGATGTAAACTCAAATATTAATGTAATGATGGGGGTGAAAGTCTAAGAGAAATAACCCATTTTGGAGTGCTTTGGATTGAAAACTGAAAGGACCTTAAACTCTGAAACATGGGGTGCTAAGTCCAAAATTCCAAGTAAACATGCTCCAAAATTCCAAAATATTATTTGCCCATATTTTAATGGCTAGTGGGGGTAATAAGAATGTTATTTATGCACTTTGTCTATGGTTTATTTATATTTGGAGCAATTTCTTTTGACTGATAGACCAACCAAAACCAAACTGAACAAAACTGAAACTAAAACCAAACCTTATGCAGTTCCATTTACTGTTTGCTTGGACCAACCATAACTGATTTAACACGCCGAAACCTTCCTAAAATAATTACATCAATACCGACCGGAACTCATTTAAGTCACTCAATTCAGTCTTGGTTTTGCATCTTTTAAAACCTGAATGACCACAGTGAACGAACACAATTAATTCAACGAACATCCTTCTGCATGTGAATGTCAATGAAAAAAATGTCTCTAGTAATATATGAATATCATGATGGTGGATTGAGTTTTAGGCTCTTTTTGGTGGCCATAATTGGCTTATTGCGCTTATCTTCAAATAAGTATCTTTTCCATTCTTATTATGCTGAAATAGATTTTACCAAACAATTTCTCTATCAGAAAATGCAGCTGATTCAACAACTTTAGCATTAAGGAACTTACCAAACGGGCCCTTATTTACTTTGGAAATGGTTTTAACTTCAGTTTGTATTTAGACCTCGTAAATCTGTTGAAGCTAAAATACTTATAGCTGTAGTTTTTGATATCACATATCATGTTCTTTCATAGGCTAGCAATTTTGCATTCAAAGATTACTTCAAAAGCCTCTTTGGGTGTTCGAAAGATGAAGATGGGTATGCAAAGTGGTTTGCTGGAAATCTAGCCTCAGGAAGTGCTGCCGGAGCAACCACGTCATTATTTTTTTATCACTTAGACTATGCACGAACTCGGCTCGCTATGGATGCTAGGGAATGCCTCATTAATGGAAGACGCCAATATAAGGGACTGATAGATGTTTATGGCAAAACATTATCAAGTGATGGCATCATTGGGCTCTACCGGGGATTTGGTGTTTCAATAATAGGTATAACTTTGTATCGAGGAATGTACTTTGGAATCTACGACTCCCTGAAACCGGTTGTTTTATTTGGACCCTTACAGGTGAGAACCTCTCATAGTTCTTGGAACATATGTTTGCTGGATTAGTATGTCATCCATTTTTTTGTGCTAGCTAATTGGCCATCATGCAGCTTGGTGGTGGGTTGTTGTTTGGAATGTGATAGGTTTTATATGCTAAATGACCATGAAGAATACACAATTTATCAGACATCCTCTCTTTCGGAAAATAAAAACACATTAACGTGCTGTTTGAATTATGGGAGAAAACAATCCACTTCTTACTTAAATCCTAAAAAAAATCAACCCCTTGATTTGGATGTTACACCTTTTTGTCCTAGGAGAATTTCTACTTCAACTATAAGGAGTGCATTGTCATATGAATTTAGCAGTATTATTTTCTCTTCACCGGGAGGTATGAAAATGATTGTCTAGTCGGACAATGTCCTTGTGGAAATCGAGTATTCCTTCTTTCATCTTCTTAATATATGCTCATTATGGTCTTTCAAACTTTCAAAGGTCATTCCCTTATCATTTCAAACCAAACCGAACATTATAATAAGTATTCCTGAGGATTTTGTTCCTGCAATTCAACCAATTAACTATAAACTCCTTGTATATTCTTTTGGTAAGGAATAACTACTCATTGTTGTTAGAAAAGAATCACTTGCTAATAGAGAGGGATATTATTCTAGTTCTGATTCTAAAAAAGAATTACGTTGAGAACCAATACTGAACACCCCCTGACCTTCTTCTACTGCGGAAACAAGTCAAACAACACAAGTACCAATATCATTCTCTCTCTTTACCATTTATTTGATATTGCATTTGCAGGACAATTTCTTTGCAAATTTCATGTTAGGCTGGAGCGTGACTACTATTTCTGGGATCTGTGCCTATCCTTTTGACACACTGAGGAGAAGAATGATGCTAACTTCTGGACACAAATTGAAGTACCATAACTCCTTTCATGCCGTAAAAGAAATCATTCACCATGAAGGGGTTTCCGCACTTTTCCGTGGAGTTAGAGCAAACATTCTCTATGGTGTTGCAGGTGCTGGAGTGCTTGTAGGATATGACCAGCTACACCGAATTGTATATAGTACTCATTAGAACTTTAAATCTTCTCACAGAGCCTTGTGTTAAATTATATTTCAATATTGGCCAACCTCTTATAAAGAAACAATGATTTGTGACCCATTGATGTGAAGCAAGGAGAAATAAATGGGAAACCCCAAATTTAGGGTGACAGTTTTGTAGCATCATGAAATTCGTTACTTCTGAAGGAAGGAGACTTGTTTTTGCTAAGGATGGAGCAAGAGAGATACGCTTTTGTTGAAAGTGTTGTTTCAGTTTCCTATACAGCTCATCAAAATTAATGAGCCCGTTTGGCAAAGGTGATTTGGCTAAAACGGTTGAATCTCTTGAGTTTTCTGTTTAGTAACATCAATTTCAGCCAATTAAGTCAAAAACTACTTATTACTACTACTACTACTGCTGCTTCTACTAATACTACTACTATTACTATTTTTAGCTGGCTAAGGCTACCATAGGGGCTCTATATATACTTACAAGTTACAAGCTTGCTACTTTTCTTTCCATAGTAATAGGTTATATGTGAATAATAGCAACCAAGTGTATGTGTTGATCCATTTGTTGTATGGGACAAATTTGGCTCTGCTTTTTTTTTCTGGAAGCTTCAATATGTAGAAAACGTTTGTTACAATTTGTACATTCATGAATCTATTCTAGTTTTTCATGACAATTGAAGCTTGTTACATGTTTTGCAAACAGTGTAACTGTATTTCTCTCCAATGCAATCCAGAATTGAGATGCTGGGGAAAGTGAGTTTATGGAACTGCTTTTTTAAATTCTAAGCTAGCAGCCAGAAGTCCTTGTGAGACTTTGTAGTAATCAAGTACCCTCCATATTTCGTGCTTTTCCTCCTAACTGCTACTGTCATACAACTTGTATTTTGAATGCAGTAATTCACAACCTTAGGATTGACTCTTTTCCCTGACCACATGGAATGCAGGCGCCACGTTGTTGACCTTTTTCTTTGACCCAAGACCAGGAGAGAGACCTTTTGTTGCTTTGCTGCTTCAACAATCACTTGCTCTTTTTCTTTTCCTTCTTGCAATAATATCTCCACTTTTACCTATTTCATGATTTCATACAATTTAGCACCTTATATTT